CATCAGGACACAGAGTTTTTCCCTCAGCCATCAGAGGAGTTTCTGTCTTAGAAGCAGAGAGTGAGCCTTTATAAAACAGTGAATTTGCTATTGCCTCAATCTCATACATTGCAGCCTTCAGAATGGTAAGAAGTATATTACTATTATTTACAAATTATCCAGTTTATGATATTTTCTTATAGCAACAGGATGGTGCTACAGGTAAATTATTTTTGAGAAAGATACTAAGATTATTCAGTGAATGGTGCTAAGGAAGCTGGATGTCCATGTACAAAAGAATGAAGTTACACCTGCACCTAACACCATATACAAAAATAACTTACAATGGATCAAAGACCTAAAACTAAATAAACTGATAAGAGAATTAGGAGAAAACATAAGGTAAAACTTGATGACATTCTATTTGGCAATGATTTCTTGGATATTATCTTAAATATACAAGAAATAAAAGAAAAAATAGATAGTACAAGACCAATAAAAAGAAGATAATAGTCAATCCAGAATGGGCATCATAGTGAATCTTATTGCCTTCAAAGTGGTTGCCTATACCCTCAAACTTGATATTATCAAACAAAATAGAATATAGTAGAATCAGACAGAACAAGATGAGGAGAGCAACACTGGGGTTCAAATCAGGTTAATAGGAAAACAAAAAAGTTACTATAATATATCCCACTATTTTTAAATTTAGTTTTCCCTTAATTGAAAAAAAATAAGAAAAAATACATTAATTTTGGAGATTGAGATAAAAGAGGACATTGTAACAGAACAACACAGGTCAGAACCAAACATTTTCAGAGTTTTTTTGGTTTTTTTTTTTTTTTTTTTTTTGGTCTTTTTCCTTTTTATCAGTACCAGGGATCGAACTCACAACTGCCTGCTTGCAAGCCAGGTGCTTATGCCGCCGAGCTAAATCCCCAGCAAGCGTACTGTTTTGATCAATTCTATTATACCTGATGATATAGGCAACTCTTTTTAAAAATAGCAAGAGGCACAATGGTAACCATTTTTGATCACCTGGTATTCTATTTTTGCATCATGTACTATGCCCATCCTTCTGTTCTAACCGACTCTGTTCTGTTTAGTCACATTAGGTTTTATTCTCTTCAAAAAAAGTAATAAGAACTGTGGGAGTAAAAAAACCCAAAAAGTGTAATTGTTATTGTAAAAAAGAGAGGAAGGGAGGGTGGTCTAAGGGATATAACTGCATGTATGTTTGAGTGTGTAGGATGGAAAACCATATTACTGAGCTTTTGTGGATCATTGAATGGAACTGTCTGCAATCTCACTGTATGAATGTCCACTTTATATGCTTTAATTTTATAATTTGGACAACTGTTTCTGGGATGACAGTGCGTGGCCTATTAACTAGTGATTTCTTACTGTATATTTTTTTTCTTGAAATTCTGTATTATTTGTAACCTGTTACTGCTTTGTTTTTTATTTCCTTTCTTTTTTCTTTAAATAAAAAAAAAAGAAAAATAGACAAATCAGATTTTCTCAAAAGTGAAATCTTTTGTGTCAAAAAACATTACCAGCAGAACAGAAAGACAACTTACAGGAGATAAACTATTTGAAAATTATATGTCTGCTAAAAATTAATATTTAGCATATATAAATAAATTGTTAAAACTAAACAACAAAAGAATCTAATTAGAAAATAGAGGACTTGAGTAAACATTTAAGCAAAAGAGATGCACTAGTAACTGATAAGCACCTAAAAGATGCTGGGCATCACTAACGCATTCTGGGCAACTGGGCTGATGCTTTGCTCACCAAGTTGGACCACACCTTATTTTAAAATTAAAAGCACACACATAATCTCTCATACACAGTCATTCTCTGCATATTTGCATGAGTGTGCACACACACACACACACACACACACACACCGCAACACACTTGACCATGCCTCCCTACTGCTAATATATATCATGAAAAATGTCCACAACGATCCCAAATGGCACGAGATTTATAAATTCAGTGAAGTGTCACAGCCAGTCAGCCACCAGCACTGGCTCTAGACTATAATCTTGTACTTAGTTGTGCTACCACTTCTTCATAATAAAATAGCAAGTTGAAGTGATTTTCAAATAGTGTGGGAGACCAAAGGGAAATCTGTTCCGCCTCCAGTAAGTGCAGAAGGCTATTAATGAGCCAAGGATGGCTTCCCTCCCAAACAGCACATTTAGCCACTTCCTCCTTTCTGTGCTCACAGAAGCTGCGATTATCAAAATTCTAAAGCAGTCGTTTGAAAAATGACTTTGCTTTTGAGAATTTACGGGCTACATATACTTATATTTTATTTCTGCTTACCCTGGGAGTTGAGTGCCTGCTATTCACATAAAGTTTATAATGTACTTTGAGCTTCTGAAGAGTACCCATGTTAAAGAAGAATAAGATAGAGAACTGACAATTCTTCCCCTTCCTATGGTTTTCTTTTTACATTTTAATACCATAATTTTAATTTTAGTAGAAACTATGTGTGCAAAGGAGGCATAGAACACAGAGGAAACATAATTATAAGGAAGGTACTAAGCAATTTAATGAAAAATCCTCAGATATCAGAGCACGGATTTTATGAATATGGCTTTTGATTCATAAAGGCTTTAGTTTCAGTCCTTACTCTACCACCTACAATGTGTCACCCACTATGCCATGTGCTCTATAAAAGTGCCTAAATCATTTAAACAATTGTATAAGGTAGACATTGTTATTGTCCTCATTTACAGATGGGTAAGGAGAGGTTCAGAGAAGTTGGTCGCATATCCAAAAGTACATAGTGTGATAGCTCGGACCCTGGAATAAAATCCAAGGAAGCAAGAAATTAAGAAATTTGGAGAAAAGGCTTTATTTTAGGCCAGGCCTGGCGACAGTCCAGTAGTCAATATGGAACACTGCGCACCTAACAGCTGCTGGTCTCACAATGCAAGGAGGGGGGTGGGTTTGTGGCGCACTACAGAACAGGAACATGGCGATTACATTTCTTGGGAAGAGTAAGGTTCAGGTAAGGGCTGGGCTAAAAAGAAAGTTTAGATTAGGCAAACATCCTCTGGGGGAAGGCACATCCTGCAAACAAGCAAGTTTCCCTGCAAACAAGCAAGTTTAGATTAGGAAGACATTCTGTTCTGCTCTTAAAGAGTTAACTTTGATCTTTTTCTTGCCTCCTACGAGACTTATGAGGGTTTTTTTATATATAGGTTATAACAATAGTCAGTAGGTGGCAGAGAAGGGTATTTAGGTTTTCACAGTAAAAGTAGTATAGCCACATCATCCAACAGTTAAGTTTTTCCCCAGACTCTCTGGTAATATTTATCTACATGGTGCATGGGAAGAGGTGAAAATGCTAGTTTTTAAACTTTAAATCATTAAACATACCACTTGTAATATATATAGTAGAATGTTCATTAGTAAATGTTTATTTATAACATTATTGTTTCTTTATAACATAATTGATTCATGATTCGCCAGAATAAAAACTATATCTGAAACATTTCTCAGTGAATATGCTTGTAGACGTCATTTGACACAATTTTCAGCAGCAATTTAAATTGACTATCTGCTGTTTTATTTGCCATTTTATTCTGCTTTAGGATAACAGCTGATACCAAAAAAGAAAAGAATCAGAAAACCCAACCTATTCTAAACACCATTAGATGGTGGGTCTTTTTGATATGTGCTTGATAAATCTAATATATATATCTAATGGAAAGGCATAGTATATATGCATTTCAAGTACCATAAGTGGTCCTGATAAATTATTCTGAAGCAATTTAAAACATTTACAGATGAAATGAATGTAAGTCATAAAGCAACATATTTTAAAATGGCTACAGAAAAGAGGAAATTGTACTTATGTCAAACACCTATGAATGTCATTTTCCCTTAAGAACACATTTGGTTAAGAGTGTGTGCTGTGAAAGTAGCACTGCTCTATAATGCCTGAAGATTTTGCTGAATTCAGCTTCTGGTATTGAATGTGGACAACAAGTTCAGTCATAGTATAAGTGTATCATCATTGCTAATATTGGAAGAAGAGGGCAAGAAAAATAAATGAAAATGAGATTAAGACAGAGAAGTGGGATGCAAATAGAACTTGTCTGAATAATATGGGGCAAACACTTAATGAAAAAACAATGCTTAATTTTTACGTGAAAATAAAAAAGAGAATATAACAAATCCCAAATGACAAAGTAGCAGTCATTTCAAAAGCAAGAAAAACGGTTGTTTCTGTTATTAGATATACATTAAAGACTACAGTGGCATGCAAATACATGACCTCTGGTAGCACATAATGGCTTTTTAAATCTTAAACATATGATTACACTGAAATATAACCTCCTGTTGTTTTCTCATCTTTTGTTATTTTGTACCATTATATAAAACTAATGATTTTTTGTATATATTCTTTTTTTAGGGGCAAGTCACATTAAAAAGAACGCTTTTAAAATATTGTTCTAAAGCAAATCACTGCTTAAGGATTTTTATTGTTTTCTTTGTTTTCTGAATAATCAGTCAAATGAACTTGAGAGACAAAGGTGATAGAGCTAGGTTTCTCTCGAACACGAGCCACTGATGGTAAACATACAGCAGCTTAAGGGACTGAATGTTACAGACATTGCATAAATATTATACTAAACTGATAAATGTGGTAGAGCAAAATGAATGGGTGTATTAGGCAACTGAGTTTCTTTAAATATTTTTCTTCCTGATGGCATCAATTGGAGTATATGCATGCATGTATGTGTCTGTGCATGCATATGCATGCGTGTATGTGAATGTATAGGGGAAATCAATTATATAATTAAATGTGCATCCTGCCCTCTTAGTGATACATCCTAATTTGTCACCACACCAGATACATGCACCTTAGGGAAATTGCTATCATCCTTCACAGAAAATCCAGGCATAATGTTATGCAAAAATTTATTGTGATGAATGATTTCAAATCTAGCACTGAGAATAACTTATTTAAATGTCGTCAGAAAAGTTCATCTCACCCGCAAAAAGGAGTCTAGGGATCCATTCTCCATATATTCCACCACAATCATTACTGGTCTGCCTGCAAAAAAGCCAGAGAACACACAAGGATTAGAGCAATTACAGAAATACCTGCTGCAGTTAAGAGATTTCCAACTGCGGTGACTAAATTATTTGTATTTTATTAATAGGAACTCATTTTCCAGCCTGCTTCTATAAAAGTAGAATCACATCATAACATATGTATATGTCTATTTCTTTCTAGCATTTATTTCCTCCTGAGTTTATAAGCTGACACAAATTACAATATGAATTTCAAAGGAATGCAGCTTTTCTTTTCCTAAAGCCCTGCAATCATTTTTTCTTGTCCTCTAGTTTTTCCTTAGAAAAGTCTACAAGCCAAAGTCAGGGTTTAATTTTAGGTAGTTACTTTTGCTGCTTTTTTAGCTGCAGTACAGATTCCATTATGGTGCAGCAATTTTGGCTGACTTACATTAGAGTGGCATTTCTGAAACATTCTCAATATAAAATAGAAAGGAGAAATTCATAAATTATTTTATGGGGCTTCAAGCAGAAAAATTTCAGTAAATTGCCAAATGTTACAAAGTTCGTAGTATTTTTAGTGTTTCCCGATCATCTCTTTATTGGAAATAGATTTGATCCACAGAGCAATGATGGCAGTACATGAAAAATAAGCAACTGATTCTGTACTAATCTAGTGCAGAGGCTAAAATGAGAACTGAACATCATTTATTTCTTGTTTTATCATATCAATTGTTATAACTCCAAATAGACCACTATTATATAGAATATTTCTCATAAATAACTTTGTTTTATAGAAGAGAATGAATTTATTCTGCTCAATTGCCCATGTTAAAAGATAAAATTTCAGATGAAGGCCAAAAAGATATTTACCTGAAATAAGTATATGTGACATATTTATTTTTACTTCTATATTCTTGCTTTATATTTGAATTTTGGGGGACAATTTTATCTGTTCTGTGTACAGTCTTACCCTATGACACACACACACACACACACACACACACACACACACACACACAATGTGGACAAATTGTGTACAGATACCAATGATGGAAATATTAGATCTCATTGCAGTTTCTGTCTTTTTAATGAACTCAAACCTTATAGGTTAGAAACCATGACCATCATAAAGTACTGTGATATATGCAAATGCTAGATTTTACATTTGAATCTATATTTTAAAGGAAGATATGCTAAAGGTTAAATGTGGTAATAAAGCTCCCAATTTGTCATGCATAGAATTAGAACCTAAAAGTTTTCCACTTGGTGTGTACTTAAGATATTCTGAAAAATCCCTCAAAAAGTCATTTATTTCATCCAAATATGAAAAAAGAACTTTACCAGGAATTTCTGAGGTCAAATGAACTGTCAGCACTCTTGTGGGTAGGGTCCTAGAAGATCCAGGGTTTAAACCTGAAAACTCCTGCAGGCAGAGGGAGCTAAAAGAAGGGGGCTGATGCAGACACTTGGCTAACAAGGTTGGGGGATGCATATATTCTAGTCTCAATGACAACTAATTACAGATGATACTGGGTAAAACTGAGCTAGTAAGACTCTGACTGCCTACGTTCTTTCCCCATCTTTATAATCTCTACTGATTATGGCAGCCAGAGGAATATGTTTATGTTCTTTGTTTTTAAACCCGCATCTTCCCTTTTTCATAGTGTCAGAACCCAAAGACCTTGCAAGAGTTTCACTTTTATTATTGCCTAACTTCTGCATACTATTATTATCCCTGATACACAGTAAGGAAATTCAGGGAATAGAAAATTAAACTACTTGTCAGTAGTCTAATAAGTAAACCAAGAAGTATCAGTCAAGTTATCTCAGACTTTTGGATACTTTAACCTTTATTCAATAAGTACCTCAGATAAAAGCTCCAAGTCTCTTTCTGTCAGCTGGCTGGCTTTTTCCCCAGTGAAAGAGTCTCTCTCTGAAACAGCTGTACCATGCTCTTTTGCTTCCCCAGCTGTCAGTATCCCTTACATTTGTGCAATCTTGCTTCCTGCCTTTACTTTTTGTATTCACTTGTCAGGATTATTTCTCAGTTTGCTTCTCTCTAATGTTACCATGCTGCCCTCTGCTCCAGGACTTATATACTGCTCCTTTTCCTTGCAAGTCTCACCCAGTGATATTTCATTGACATTCCCATCGTATCTGTGTGCACTAAGAATTGTTATTATGGATTTATATTTTTAGATGGTTTACTTTTTTTTCTCACAAATGCCTTTTATTTTCCTTTTACTGGGATTTTCTAGATCACTAAGCATAGTAGGTGCTTCATAAAAATAAAGAGGTTTTTTCTTACTGATGTTCTATGCTTAAGAAATTAACATTAAAAAAGAAAGTAATATTTAAGTTTTCAGCAAGATTCTAATCTATATGTGTATTTGCAATTAATTCTACATATAATTCTTTAGAAGATGCTCCAGGTATCTCCTAAAATTAATCAGTGATAAGTTTTACTTCTCATTAAGAACAACAAAGAAACAAATGAAGCCTCCCCCAACAAGTCTGTTGCAGTCAGACTTTAAGGGGAATAGGTTTAATACAGGACACATTATTTATAGGATTACTTTATAAAATTCACTCAAAAAGTCAAATGCAGAAGAGTGCAAGAAGTCTGTCAATGCACTAAAGACTTAAAGAATCCTGCTGAGGGCCTGGATCCCACCGCAGTGTCCAGCTGGAGGGCTAGGGCCCATGACAATGTCTCATGCAAGTCTGTATCAAGGATCCGCACTGCCAAGTCCCAAAGGTCCTAAATGGTGGAAGCTAGAAAGTCTGCATCAGTGGGATAAAGGATGTGACAGCAGGCTGAGGATCTGCATTGGAGTCAGGAAGCAACACTCAAGGTGAGGACAAGAGCTCCCTTGAAAATAAAAGGCAGCCATTCTCAGTGACAGCAGGGACCCATGTTCCTCTGAGGATAACAGCTGAGTTCTGATCAGGAAAACCAGTGTGACAGACTTCTCCAGGAGGATCAATAGCAAATCTTTCCCTCTAGTTCTCTTTTTTATGCTATGGACAGTAACCCTCAACTGGGACTTCACACCCGGAATCATACTGAGTTCCCTGGGTGTTACAAACTGATCATTAGTTAATCCACCACACCCAGTTTTTTAGTAAAAAGAAATAGTTTTTCTTATCTATAGGAAAAGCATAAGAGATTAAGTTATTCATTGTTCATATGTAACTGCTTTCTCGGCAGATCTTGATTCTAGTGCAGTTTAAAATATCCATAACTGCATCTAGGCTATTTTGAAGGGGAAAAAAAAATCTAAAAAATTAACTTTGGGTTTCTTGGAAGATCTCTTAAACTGATGAGACTTCTAAAACAGAGAGGAAATTTTGAAAACTAACATTTAAGAAATTTGGAATTTATTCACTGTGTATTACAAAAGAGGTCTTATGACAGGAGCCATTTTGTACTGGCTAAAATATATATAAAAGAAAACATAATTAAGTATTTTGAAAATTTAGAAAGGGAATCTATTACTTTCAAATAGATTTTGCAAGAGTAATAATGAAATATTTAATTTTTGTATATTGAAAAAAATAGAAGCAGTGACCTCTTTCACTTGAAACAGATTTTAAAAATAGTGTCTTATAATAAATAAATCTTTAAATCTTTTGGGAAGATTCTTCAAAGGGGAATAGCAGGGTCAAATGGAATGTCTAGTTTTAATTTTTTGAGGAATTTCCAAACTGATTTCCATAGTGGTCATACCAACAATGTGGAAACCCTCTGGCATACAGGCCCAACCCAAAATATAAATAAATTTTAGAGCAAAATAAAAGATAGATAATAGGAAACAGGGAGACAGAGCTTGGGCAAAAGGGTAGTGGAACAAAAGATGAAGGAAAGAGGAAGAGAAAGGGAAGAGGATTTACAAAAGAACTAAGATGTAGCATGTGCATGTTACTCAAATGCTCAGATTTGAACTTTGCATCTTATACTTTGTGTGACAGCACTAACACCAGCTGTTCGTTGAAACTAAAGAGTTGTTTTCTTAGTTCACTGCTAGCATCTAATCTATGATTCATTTCCTCATCATTTTCTATATGGAAGTTAGTTATAATGTGAAGGTTAAAAGCAACTTTATAACTAGTTCATAGTTACATTTATAACAGAAAATAGATAAGTATAACAGAAATTACCAAAATTATGATGCTATTTCCCTTTTAATTTTTAATTTTATTAGTATATGTTTGCAGTACCTAATGATTACATTCACTGTAGAGAGTTAAAAAATAGCCCAGATGTAGTTATGGGTATTTTAAACTGCATTAGAATCAAATCTGCTGAGAAAGCATTTAAATATGGCCAATGAATCACAAAATCTCTGATCTTCCTTTTCCTATAGACAAGAACACCTTTTTTCTTTCACTGGGATATATAGAGACCACTGACAGATACATATTTTTCAAATACTTTTCCACTATTTGTAATGGTTTTGATAAAGGAGGTATGGGGTAACCATGTGATCGTAAGATTATACTTTTCTCATGCTGCTGTTAAGTAGAAGAAAAATGTTCTTTAATGTCCTACAGAAATAATGGAAAAATATTTAACAGTGAAATAGATTTTTTATTCCTGAGAGAAGATCTGTGAAAGAAGAGGATCACAGAGATTTAACATTTTCATGTAACTAATGGGTTTGTGCTCAATGTAATGCTGTTTGTCAGTCTGGTAATTTCTAACGTGCAGTCAGTAAAATCTCTACAACTTCAATACTCTATTACAGATTAAAATCATTCTATTTAAGTTTTTATCATATCTATATTTACTCTGTCAGGCAATAAAATCTGTGGTGATATCTTGGATTGACAAAGTGGTTACATTTTTTTCTCTGTATCTTCTAAATGAGGAATATTTGAGCCAATTCTTCAGTTTATTTCCACCGCCCTTGCTTCTGTTGTATAGATAGTAAATTATAACCACTAGTGAATTTTACAATACATGAAATAATTTTCTTATATTTCTATGCAGTCAAAAGACATGAATAACACAAATTTGAACAGTTATGATATGTT